CCCCAAAACCCCAAAACCCCAAAACCCCAAAACCCCATCATTCAAGAAAAGTTCAAATTAGGGGTTGAGAGATATGTACACTTATTGAAATTATTTATGCATTAAATTAGAAACATTGAGAGTTTCCCTAGCTAGCTTATTATCTATTTAAAATATTGAAAAGTCACAAGATCATAGAAGTTTTTGCTAAACCTTTCCTATTTCTAACTACCATAAATCATATTGGTCTCATAATGGCACAGAGTGGAAATAGCGGATGTCTAGCAGCACTATTGATTTATTGTTGCCAGCAGCAATCATTAGTCCATCGTGGCTCCAGTTAGCATCTAGAACCATTCCTCCTTGCATCTGGGGAGTTTGCTTAAATGCTTTTACTATTTTCTGATCCTGTAGAGACCAAATGAAGAGCTCATCTTGGAGTCCACCAGAAACTAAGAGTTTATTGTCAGGGCTAAATGCCAAACTCAAGACAGGAGATCTAAAATGAGAGTTAATTAATAAAAATTTCTGAAAAATGACTTACTCATGACCTTAGAGTGTAAAGATACTTTTCCCCATCTCAACATCCCATATTTTTACAGTTTGATCTCTGCTAGCAGTAGCAAGAATAGGAACAGGTATATTACCAGATAATTGCATTGGTGAGGTACTGTTTGGTCCATTCATGAAAGGATGATTATTCCATTTTAAGTTATTTACCGAAGAGAGATGTCCTTTCAATGATCGAACTGCCTCATTTTATTTCGGTGACCATAGATAAGCAACTTCATCTTCTGAGCAGCTTGCAAGAAGACTTCCAGCAGGATCCCATTTAATGAAATTAATTGTGCTTTGATGTCCTTTCCAAACCCTTTTTGGTTAGTCTTAATTCAAGCTCCACAAGTATATATTCTAATCGAGGGAGCATGAGGCTAGATCCGTATTGTTTTACCAATCGAGATCAACTACCTCATTATCTTAGTTGAATGTTTTCACAACATGCTCAGGTTTAAGGCCTTGCGGCATCCAAACTAAAACCTTACGATCCTAAATTCCTGAGGCTATCATTTAACCCTCTTTGTTCCATTTTGAAACCATAACCATCGATGTCGATAAATCATCTTTGTATGATTACGAACCATATTAATCAGAAGCCCCAAGTTCGTTATATGCCTGTTAATTTTAAATTTAAATTAATTTACAGAGTCTTTATAATGGTTCATATTTGCCATCTTATTTATGTTATTACAGTTGAATATGCTCTTGATCTCTCCTTTATCTGACCACACCCTTGCTAATCCATCTGATGCGCTTGTAACGATCTTATCTCCTGCAGCCTACAGAGCCATTATACAGAAAATCTTACATTCCAATGAATACATGTGATATCTGTGTCAATTCCTAAATTAAACTTTAATGTTAATTTTATAATACAAATATATAAATGATGATTACCTTGAATATTTGCAGAGGCATCTTTACAATGAGGAAGGCCTTCAGTCAGGGCTATACTCTGCAGACTGTCACCATTGAAACTCCACAGGAATGCATTCTTACCTTATCCACTAAACATAATCTGTTGAGCTGGATGCTTAATACTTACGCTGAGACAAGCTGCTTCTTAGATGGATTCCATTATGTGTGATAGACCTTCGAAAAATATTACCAAAAATAGACTACTTACTTAACCTTAATGATGGTTTATGATCATTGTACTCTTTCCATTGCTTTCAAGGATGTCATAGTTGATAGTTTAAGATCTTTTTTGGGCGTCAACACTCCTCTCATATTGATTAAAGTCATTAGTGGTATTTCCATTATTGCGCATTAAAATATCAGGAGAAGTTACTGGAGCACTATTAGTCAATCTAACATCAAGCTCTATATAAATAATTAATTAAAATGATGAAAATAAACAAAGATCGAAAAAAATGAATAACTATTCAGTAACTTACTTTGACTCATTTAGCTCTCAATTTCAAGTAGCCTCTCAATTTCGGACTACATCCTCTCCTTGGCGGTAACATTCACCTCACAGTAGTGAGGACTCAACAACGTAAATGGCTATTGACAAATTTTCATCTCTTCATTCTACAATTAGAAATTAGAGGAATTGGCAATAATAATAGTACATCGTTTAGATGAGTTTCCATGTTTATAAGTGTAAGGGCTTTTTCCAAAAATGTAATCAAAAGACCAGCAGGGATCCTGTAGTGATTGTACTTATTCTCATGCATATTAGCCTCCTGTGCGAACGTAAAAGCTGAGTGCTAAAATCCTATAAATTTGATTAAATATGGCGGCTAGAAAGGTACCTGACTCGTGCAAATATTAGTATATAACGAAGTTTACTTCTTCGGCTGTTATTTTCAACATTATAAGGTGTCCTGATTTCTTAGAAATTAAAGAAGCTTCCTGAAGATCTGTCTAACTCAATTTTAAATATATATTATATATTCTATTCGGGGTTCTATCTATTATACTCACAGACTCTCCCTCAATCCTATATTTATAATAATAAATTAATTTATCAAAGTTCAGTCAAAGTTAGCAATTTTAAGGGGTTTAATAAAATAAGGATCAATCAATTCAATACAATTCAATAGTCTTCTTTCTAATTATTTTTCATATAAGGCTCGTCCTCAACATCTACTATAATGTCTGATTCCTTTATGGAGAGCTTTTGATTCTATTGCCTTGATCTATTTCTTGACAAACTCGAATTTTTGTTTGGAACATAATTGTTGTTTCTCTCTGTTATTGATTCTGGTTCATCTTTATAAGTAGAATATTCAATCTTTTTATTCCTACTATCTTTAATTGTTGTCCTTTAGTACACAATAGAATTAGCATCTGCTCTAACTTTATAGATATATGCAATTGGTTGTAGTAAAGTAATAAATCCAATAATTGCAAATGCAATTCCTAAGATTAGCATTTCATTTGAAGAAATTCCAAAGTTAAAAGTGCTCACAGTCAGGGCTGAAGCTACAAGAAAGGGGTCCTCTCCATTCCTAACTTTGAAATTTACTGTTAAAATCATTGGAAAATGATAGTCGATTCCATTACCATCATTAGTTTTGATCTGCTAATAATCGGCAACTTCTTTGGTAGGTCCGATGCACCCATAAGTTCCCCAGGTATTATTTAAATCCCATTAATTTGTTTCTGGATTCTCAGATACTTTTATGCATATGTCTTTAAGTCTAAAGTAAGTAAAGCAATGCTATGTGTCCTTATTGAAGTCACCTCCTTATCTTGCACATTCTTAAATTGATTAGTTTATTATGGAAAAAACTTACATTACAAGCTTCTAGTAGGGAAGATAGTAGCTTTAAATAGAGGTATATTATCAATTATCACTTGACTTACTGAATTATTTGCTGTAATAAAAAGTTATTAAAATCATAGGATATATACCTTTGGTGTCTGTAATCTCAAGTCTGAAACTAACAGCATCAGTATCATCACCTTAAGGATACCTTTAAATCTATTCTATTCCAATCTAGGGTCCATCTTAATATTGAAGTTTATAATAGAGAGCATCGTAATCAGCTTTGAAACTGTAATAGTCATGATCTTTAGTCAAGTCTTTTTCATCTTGAGAAAAAGCTTGCTCAAAAAACCCACTTCTCACATCAACATTGTGTATAGTGCCGATTGTCATGTTAAGGAATTGATAATTAAAAATCTCATTATTTTTCCAATTCTAAAATTTCAAAGATTAATGTCAGTTAACTTGAATGAAATTAATCTTACAAAAAGCGAGTCTTAGTATTGTATCAGATTGTATTCACGCCAACCTTAGAAAGACTAGTTGAGGATTAATGAAATGTTTAATTTACATATACAATACAGATGATTCCTCCTATAAATACGGCCAGGGAAATTAGGCCTAAGAAACTGCACAAAACGATATTGATTTACTACTCATGTGTATAATATGCCATTCTTTTAAATTTATGAATATTCAATTAATCTTATCTATCATTACTAGTAGAAAATCTTTGCTCTTTGGGGTTTTGGGGTTTTGGGGTTTTGGGGTTTTGGGG